GTGTGAACGTAGCCCTAGGCTCTGAGAGAAAATAAATATGAAGTTGAGTTTTTGAAAAAAATCTGTGCGATTGCTCTAAACGTCTGTATTCCTGTAGCCTGGTAAAAACCAGACTCTTGTTCTTCACTTTGCTTCATACGAGGGTCTGGACTCTCGGCTATACAGAAGTGATTCTTGCTGGAGGCGTGGCCTCTAATGAAGTTTAAAATGATTGGATCAGTTGGCCACYACGTATGTGTGCCAGCTCCACTGTGAAAGAGGCTAAGGTAAGAAGCTAACAGGAAATTGTGAGGGCAAAGCTGCTTGTTGTAGGCTGTGTGTAAGCTCCAGGTTCACGAAGTGCTCAGGTTCATACATGTTCAAGCTGAGCCTGAAGCTGGGGCCACAGCTGAAGAAGAAATCCTGTGTTTTACCATCAGTGCCAAAGACCACACACCTCCTGCCTGCTCCTCTCCACTGCAGGTGATCTTATCTCCGGGCCGTGTTCTGGCTTTCCCTGCGGCCGAATGACAGTCGTCTTCTCAGCCCCTCCGGTCGGATCATGTGTGACTAATACAGACTTTTTGCTTGAACGATTGTGTGTCTAAGAGTGTGTGTGTGTGTGTGGATTTGTTTTAGTTTATTGTGAGGACCTACTGTCCACCAAATGTCAGTTTTTTTGACTAGCTGTAGAAGTTTCTTCGCATACACATTGTTTTTGATGTCCGTCATGGCGAAATGGGTGGTCTTCTGAAGCGCATGACGTCATGTGTAAAGGGTCAATAGCAAGGCCACCATCTGGTGTTAAGAAGGTCTTTAAAGACACATCCGTGTCACTATTTGTGACCCATCATATCAAAATGAGGTTTAAGTCAAATTTGGTCAAAATGACCTAATTATTTTTTCAAATTCTTGGCTTTAAAAACTACGTTTTGATACCTGGATCGTTCTGATATCATAATTAAATGCATATATATATGACTTAATTTGTCTTGTTGGTTACAATAATACATAACTATTTGGTCTGAATCCTAATTTGATGTCATTTTAATGAGTATTTGATGTTCTTATAAAGAGGAAACTTAAAATTTAAGTTAAGATTAAGTTAAGAAACTTAAGATTTCCCAGCTAAAAAGAAACAAAACTTTGCTAGCTCACAGGGAAAATCTCAAAATTTTAAGGCGCTTTTCCTCAAAATCAGTTTTTTTTTGCTACTTCTCAAAAAAGTGCTTCAAAATTTTGTGTTATGATTATATTTCAGACAGTTTATTCAAATTATAAATTGATAAGGCATTTATTCATTATTGTTTGACAAAATGCAATTTTTGTTAACATTTTAGTCAAAACACTATATTTGCCTTTTTCTCCATACACCACTTTTGGACTTAATCCTCATTTCGATGTGATGGGTCACATTTACACAACTCGTGGGGTAGTTCTTAGTCTAAATCACATCCACCACCTACCTGGTTTGTGACTGCTGGAGTCTGGTTGGCAATTCAAAAATGGTAAATGGTACTGAACTTATAGAGCGCTTTTCAAGTCCCTCCGGACCCCCAAAGCGCTTTACACTAACAGACATTCACAAAAATGCACAAGATCATGCAAGCCTCTGTTGCTGTCACTCTGAATTCTGACTGTTCATCTGGCTGCATATCATCCATCCAGTTTTTAAAACTTATGGCCTATTTACATGCACACAACTAAAGGCTGCGTCACACTGCAAGATTTAAAAACAGTCGACCGATTTTCAAAGACAGAGAGCCCACGTGTGAGGATAAAAAATCCACACCAGGTTTGGTCCTACAGTGTGTGGTGTACAGTCACACTGCCAGAGACAACACAGCACACACGGACAGATTTCATTCATGAACAGTCAGAACTCCGATGTGAAATCACGAGAGATTTCAATAAGTCTCAGATCTCAAAGGAAAAATCTTGCATGAGCTCCAGAGAGATGTGAGTTCAGAGTAAATAAATATCTGTGACGAGGAAGAAACAATATTGATCGTTTGTGGACTATTTTAAAGGGCCAATATTATGTGTTTCTCAGGCATATATTTAAATACTATACCATAATAAAGTATCTATGTCACCTTTAGTTGTTATTAAAATGCTGTTTTTATGTTTAAATAGAAAATAAACTCATCTTCTCATCAAACGCCTTGAAATCGGCCTCTATCTCTTTAAG